TATAGAACCCTGAGGTACTCCACAAGTGAGAGGGGCTACAGAGGACTCCACAGCACCAATGCGCACGCAGAAGTTTCTTTCTGTCAGATAGGATCTGAACCACTGTAGAGCAGGACCCTGAATGCCCACCCAGTTCTCCAGACGAGACAGGAGGATGTGATGGTCTACTGTGTCGAAGGCAGCAGTCAAGTCCAACAACATTAAAACTACACAGTCACCAGAGTCTGCGGCTAAAAGAATGTCGTTGAAGACTTTCAGCAGCGCAGACTCAGTGCTGTGGTGAGTTTTAAAGCCAGATTGAAACTGTTCAAGAAGGTTGTGGTCGTTTAAGTATGATGTTAACTGATTGTAAACAATTTTCTCCAAGATCTTAGATATGAAGGGCAGTTTTGAGATGGGTCTAAAGTTGGACATTACTGTGGGGTCTAGGCTAGGTTTTTTAATCAGTGGTGTCACAACTGCATGTTTAAAGCTCGCTGGTACCTGTCCACATGCCAAGCTGTCATTTATAATTTGGGACACATGAGGAGCCACGGTGTGAAAAACCTCTTTAAAAAGACGAGGTGGGATGGGATCATTTGGGGATCCAGCAGGTTTCATACGACCAGTGATGTCAGTTAAGGAAGACAGGGTGACGAGCTCAAACTGACTGAAGACAGCAGAGCGTGTGACGGAGACGGAGGGGTCGTAAGAAGGAGGGCTTATGAGAGCTCTAATGCTTGAAACCTTATTGATAAAAAAGCTCAGGAAGTTGTCACACATTTCAGTGGAGTTCTCTGGGCTGGCTGATTGTGGGGCATTAAGAACAGAGGTGATTGTTTTAAAAAGCACACGTGGATTGCTGGAGTTGGAGGAGATGATGTCAGAGAAATATTTGTTTTTTGCAGCTCTAACAGTGGACTGATAGAAGCGCCAGCTGTCCCTCAGAGCTTGGAAAGACACCTGTAGTTTGTCCTTCTTCCACTTCCGCTCTGCTCTCCTGCACTGGCGTCTGGCAGATCGTGTGACCTCATCAGCCCAGGGGTCAGGCTTTGGTCTGGAAGCTCTTGTTTTTAATGGAGCCACAGCATCTAAAACGTTTTGACAGGCTGAGTTAAAATTAGATGAGAGAGCATCGATATCTGAATGAAGACCCACAGGGTCTGTGGGGCTGATGGCAGAACTAAAAGCTGCAGAGAACTGAGAAGCAGTGGAGGAGTTAATGACCCGACGGGGCTGTGCAGGAGCGCGAGGTTTGACTGAGCGACAGACGAGTGGCATGTCAAACACAACAGGCATGTGGTCTGAAAAGGCAGCATCACAAACTTCCACATTAGAAACATTAAAACCGTGAGCTAACACAAGGTCTAAGGTGTGCCCACATTCTTGTGTTGGATCAGACACAAACTGAAGCAAATTAAAAGAGTCTATCAGCTGTAAAAACTCTTTGACCAACGGTTTATCAGCATAGCACACGGCGATGTTGAAATCTCCGACTATTAAGATCCTGTCATATTTAGGCAAGACTCCAGCCAAAAAATCTGCAAAGTCTGTCAGAAAGTCCTTGTTGTATTTTGGAGGTCTGTATAAAACAGCACACAGTACGGGTTGTGAAGATCCGAGCTCAAACAAGTTGAACTCAAAGCTGGAATAACATGTTAAAGGTGTGATTTCTTTACAGAAATAGCTCTTCCTGTAAACAGTCGCTATTCCTCCTCCACGACCCGTCGTCCTTGGAGAGCTGAAGTATGCACAGTTTGGTGGCAGGAGTTCACAAAAAGCACTGGACTCACCGGCAGTTATCCATGTTTCAGTAATGAATAAAAAATCCAGACCACGGGAGGTGAAGAAGTCCTTCAGAATAAAGGTCTTGTTTGTTAAAGATCTAGCATTAACCAGAGCCATGTGAACATGAGATGGAGCCAGGGTGACGTCATCCATCCGAGGAGCTCTGTCCAGCAGCCGCAGGTTGTGGTGGTTCACTCCGCGGACGCGGAGGAGAGGAAAGGAGAGGCCGCGCAGCAGCGGCCCCCCACCCAGGCCAACAGCAGCCGGGGTGTGATCCGACGCAGGAGCCAGATCGAGCAGGTTGTGGTGGTTCACTCCGCGCACTCGGACGAGGGGGGGGGGAGGGGGGAGGCATCGCGCAGGTTGTCCCTCACCCAGGCCAACAACAGGAGCCAGAGAAGAGCTGATGAGATCCAGGGAGCGCCATGAGATAAAACAATTAGATGCAGCTCCAAACTCAGAGAGAGCGGATAGGGAGGACGCCAGCTGAGCTTTCAGTCTGACCAGCTGGCCGCTGCGTCTCCCGCGGCGTCTGCGCGCTCTGCGCGCTGGTGGAGCTGGGGCGCAGCACAGGTAGGCCGGCACGTCCGACAGAAATGGAGGGAAAAAAGTTTTCTGGCTGTCATTCACAAACGGAGCCAAGTTGTTAATATCGGGTCGAAGATTAAAAAGCGTTTGGCGATTATACACCAGCAGAGAGTCGACACTAGTTATAAAAGCAAAAAACAACACAAAAACAATCAAAGTATGCAGGGAGAGGCAAGCCGAACACACTGGCGCCGCCATCTTTTACACCGGAAATGGAAAAAAATGTTTGAAAACTTCATGTTGGTGATAGCATCATTGAAAACTTCATGTTGGTGATAGCATCATCAAGGAACGACTGGCCAGATGCAACCCTGGGTACGGAGGGTCAACAGCTTTTCTACACCCTGCCAAACACTGGAAACACCTTTGCTGTTACTATTGTTGCTCTAAAACAACATTTTGTGCCGAAGGTGAACGTCATTGCTGAACATCACAAGTTCTGACAAAGAACACAGAGCCAAGATGGTAAACCAATTCTTAGCTCCTCTACTTGAGTTAGCTGCTGCATGTTATTTTGGTAACATGGAGGAACAAATGTTATCTGATCAGCTGATCGAGCATGTTGTTAACACTCGCATGAGACCGATTATTACTTTAACCGGACCTAACACTTGCTAAAGCTACTACATTGGCATTGTAAATTGAAAGTAGATTAAGGGATACTAATGTTTTCTCTGATGCTACTGCTGCTGGCACTTCTGCTATGGTGAAGGCCATACAGAAACAATCAAAGTCAAGCCGCCGCTGGGACATGCAGAAGAAGCCACTGCCAAATCCTGATCCTCCCACAGCTCAAGCTGCTGGTAACCGTTCCTGCTTTTGTGGTGGATCTTCTAACCACCTTGCTGACAAACCTTCATGCCTTGCTGTTAAAGTGACCTGCAACAAGTGTGGTAAAGTGGGACATTTTTCACGAGTATGCCGTTCAACCCAAAAGGAGGCACATGAAGCCGTCATTAATGAGCCCACAGTTCTTTACATGAACATTATAGTACAAGACAAGATCCTCTGCACAGTTCAAGTGACTGCTAATGGACAATGTAAAGATGTTGAGTTGATTGTAGATATAGACTCATCTGTGTCCATTATACCAGAGAACATTTACCACATTTACCACACCTTCTTCTCAGAATGTGCCCTAACTGAACATACATTTTTTTTATCCTGATGCATGCTCAATACAAATAAAAAAATAAAAATAATTTTTTTTAATTCATCTTGCTTTTGTATAGTAATTTTGTTTGGAATATATTTTGGGGACAAGGGGCAGATATTATAAGAACTCATTCTTCTTCTGCTGCCTTTCATTTTATTTCTGTGATTGTATATCTTTTTTTCTTTTCTTTAAATTGTATTATATTTGTTGTTTGGATGAAATGAAATTAATAAATAAAACATACATACATACATTTGCTCTTGTTACCTATGCAAAAAAGAAAATTGCAGTAAAAGCGTGCTTAAAATCTACTATTTCTCATAATTCTACTGTAGGTACTCTAGATGTGGTTGGGTCAGGTGATGCTCTCCTTGGCTTAGATTTATTTCAGGTATTACATATGAAACTTGAAGGATGAAAAGTTATTACTAGTATTACTCCTTCTACCTCTACTGTTCCAACTGCTGTGCCAAAGAATGAACCAGAAAATGCTCCTGAACTGTCAATTCAGGAAGTAGGCTATGCCAAAAACTTCATACACAAAGTGCACATACTGCCAAATGTTGTTCCAGTACAACAAAACTCAGGAGACTGCTATTTTCTGTGAGACAAGCTGTTTCAGAGGAGCTCAACGATCTCCAAGATTAGTACATCATTGAACGTATTGGGTCTCTCCCATAGTCGTGACACAAAGGAGAGATGGTGGAAAGCCAAATAAAGTTATTGTTGCTGATTGCCATCCACACATGGATGAACTGTTCTCAAATCTACGAGGGGCTACTTTTTTCTACTATCGATTTAGCATCTGCCTACCACCAAATGCCTCTGCATCCCGAAAGTCGTGATATTACTGCATTTATCACTCATGATGGACTTTTTCTTTTCTGCATAGTTCCATTTGGCGTAGCTTCTGCCCCATCTGCCATTCAAAAGATTATGTCAGTCATCCTCACAGGTTTACCAGGCATACAAGCATACCTTAATGACATTGTTTGCTACGATTCTACACAAAGCTACACAATTAGCTTTGTAGAGATCTAGTAGAGTGCTCTATGAATGGGTAAATGAGGACACAGATTGTAGTGTAAAGCGCTTTGAGTATCTTGAAATTAGAGTAACTTGAAATAAGATAGAAAGGCGCTATATAAGTACAGTCCATTTACCATTTACTGTAATCAATTGAGGGAAGGAAAGTCACAGATACAAGGCGTTTTCTAGCATTCAGGGTTAAATAGGATCTGTTTCTGAAAAAGAAACCCAGTTTAACTTTCAGTTTCTTTACAAATTTTTCCACATGGAGCTTAAAAGAGAGATGTGAGTCGACTAAGATACCAAAATATTTATAGGAATCAACAAACTCAATGGGGACATCATTTGAGGATGAGATCAGAGGAAGAACTGCTGGGACCAACTTCCTATTTGAAAAAAGCATCCCTTTGGTTTTGTCGGCATTTAGGACAAGATTGAGGCGGAACAAATCTGGCTGGATGTTGTTGAATGCAGATTTCAAAAGCTGGAAAGCCTTATCAACTGTTTTAGCTCGACAATAAACAACTGTGTCATCAGCATAGAAATGTATGGATTCATTAGGGATGTTTTTACCTACATTATGTATGTAGATTGTAAAGAGGGTCAGCCCTTAGACTGAGCCTTGTGCTACACCATTGCTGACTGTTAAATAACTGGAGGAAGTACCATTATGTTGAACACATTGCCTGTGGTCTGAGAGATAGTTAGAGAACCCACCAATGGTGTGTTCCTAGAAGCCGATTTCTGAGAGTTTATGACACAAGATGTTATGATCCACAGTGTCAAAAGCTTTAGACAGGTCTAAGAAAAGTGCAGCACAATAATCCTTTGCATCCAGTGCTTCAGCAACGTCATTAAGAACCTTCAATGAAGCTTCAGGTGTTTATTCAGATGTTTATCAGATACACACTCAATTGGGTTGTGGTGGCCACTAAATATATCTTGCATTACCATGTACTGTATAAAATACGTTCTAATGATGTTATAAGTATCATTATATATGTTGTTTTGTTGTTGTGGTTTCTCTGTTTTGTCATGTTTTTTTATTTCTTTCCACAGGTCTAGAGGCAGACTTCAAAGATGTTGATTTGTGTTCTCTTTATCTCTCTCTCTCTCCTCTATTCCTATCTCCCTCTTTACCTTTTAACCCTTCTCTCACTTTTCTGCTTTGTTTTCTTCGTTTTTCATCCCCATGTCCAAATAAAAAAAAATTAAAAAAAATAATAAAATAAAGTACAACACAAGAAAATGATACATATAAGTAATTGCTTCAAGGAAAGGGAAAATGTTGTGTTTGCTATTGCATACAAAGGACACCAGTGGGCGCTCTGAGATTGTATGTGAATAGATGTTGTATGTATGCAGAGAGAGGAAAGGAACGAAAGTGAAAGTAAAGAAGATTTGAAGCTGTTTGCTTATTTTGTTGTTTACCTTAAATCAAACGTGCAACACCACAACAACGGGGGACTACTATATATA